GATGTGTGTGAGGGTGGACATGTTTGGAGGTTGCTGTGTTGAAGCTGCATGAATCAGCCTCTCTGCAGCTCTCAGCACCTTCACTGAGCCTTGAGGGAATCACTGAGCTGCTCTTGTTCTTCACAGTTAGAAGGTGGGAGCTCTCATCAAATGATCTCCAGCATCATCTTGTTCATGCCAGGCTTTTCATCCACTGACCACAGCCACCTGGAAACATCAGGGCAACCAGTAGCTTTTTAACACATCTGGAATGAAACCAGTGAGATTTTAATACGACCATGACCATTATGATTTAATGTTATGTGGGGGAGTGGTGGAGCAGAGGTTAGAAGATGGGCCTGTGATTGGAAAGTCGCAGGTTCAACTCCCGGTACCGTCAACATCAAAATGTGGGTGGAAAAGGTGAAACACCCACACCTGCTTCCACCCTCACTGGCCCCACTCTGGGCCCCTGAGCAAGGCACTCAACCCCCACCATCTGCTCCTAAACAGGTCTCTCTTGAAAATGAGTTCTCGTGACTCAATAAATGTATAAATAAAGGTAAATGAAAAATAAAAGTTTAAAATAGAAATACTCACATCATTAGGCCAAGGTTGTGTGTGTGACGTGCACGTTCCTGAGAGGCCACAGACAGAGCAGCTCCAGCTCTTGTTGAGTTCCTGTAGTCCTGCAGTTTTCAAGCTGAAATGAAAAATCATCATGAATATGAACTTTACAGTCTATAGTTACCTGTTCATATAAACACATGGAGGTGTCTCATCTTGTGACTGACAATAAAATATGTAACTTTATGAACTCTAATGAACTTATAATGATGATCCTACTCTTTGAAGGTGAACCGATGGTACCACACCATCTCTCAGTCGGACAGTTTGATCAGTTTGATCAAAATCCTCCAGTTTAAAATCCTCACTGCTCAGATGAATCCTCCTCAAAGATACTTCCTCCTCTTCCTCACATATTGTTCTTTGGGAAACCTTCAAAATGAAAACAGGAGATTTGTGTCTACACAAAAACATTGTACAGAGGAGGTCAATCTTATTTTCTATTTCCTATATTCTCCCTAGTTTTATTTTTTTAATATCCTAGAACTTAAACAAAACTCCAGTTTTGATGCATATCTGTTGATAATGAACCAAAGCTACTGAAATAGTGAGTATGCTTGTTAGAAAAATATTCCTGTCATCAGATCTCAGTTAGCTTCATTGCAGCTGAACACCATGTTACACTGAACATCACATCAGCTGGTGGACATAAATACAGTACAGTAATATTATATTCACAAAATACAAACAATAATATGTTCATCTTACTTGTGAAAAGTTATCCCCCGAGACCTGACGTCAACAGTCCGTCGATTAGAACAGAAAGAAGCTGCGAAGTGCTGAGACATCTTCTGCTTTAACCAAATAAGGACGACCGTTCCAAGATGGCGGCCGATATTCCTGCGCCGCAGCAGCCAATGAGGGATCTAGTGCTTATATCTAAGGTTTATATATCTATGCTACAAACCGGTCGCAAAGTTTCATCTTCTTCTTTTTTGAGGTTTATTGGCTGTTGGCAAACAACAAATTTGGTGCATTACCGCCACCTACTGATAAGGAGTGTGGACAAAATGTCACTCAAGGATTAAATTCTCTTAAATAACTGTGTTAATTTAAGATAACGAAAGATTATCTGATGAAGTTTACTATTCGAGTTATTTCTGAATAAATCAATTAAATCTAGTTTTACTTTAATTTTATTTAAATTTTGAATCAGCTGTTGTCTTTCTTCCTCATACTTTTGGCAGTGTAACATTACATGCTCTATTGTCTCATCTGCTCCACAGTATTCACATTTACCAGTGCAGTGTAGCCCCAAAATAAAAAGAGTGCTGTTTAACCCAGTACGCCCAAATCTGAGACGAGACATGTCTCTTCTCTCCTCGTCCTCCGTGTACTTCTCATTTCTCCAGTTTTCTTTTGGATTTTATAGAACCAGCGTCCTTTCTTTTCTTCCTCCCATAGCTTTTGCCGTTTATCCTTCATTTTCTGTTTTATTAAAAGTTTTATTTCTGTTTTACTAAAATTAACTACTAAATCCACTGATGTATTTCTAGTGGCTTCCTCTGCAGTTTTATCTGCCATTTCATTTCCTGTAACACCATAATGAGCTGGTATCCATAAAAAAATGTATCATTAGATCCATCATATTTATTCTGTATAATGTCTGTTGAATTTCTATTAAAATATCTGGCCTGCTTTCTGAATGGTTATATTGTAAACTGACTAATGATGAACTGGAGTCTGAACAAATTACTGATCTCATTGGTCTTGTTTCTTCAACCCACTGAATGGCTAATAATATTGCGAGCATTTCCCCTGTGTACACTGAAAGTCCATCATTACTTCTTTTTCTAACTTTGATGTTGAACTCCGGAACAATGAAAGCT